GAAGAAAAAGTCAGTAGGCTTAAATGAGAATTTTTTCTACTTTGAAATAACTTATTTGATCTCTTTACAGTTTGGAGTCCAAGCTATATGAGGGGCCTTTACAAAGTTTATGGAATATAGATATTGATAATATGAAAAAAATCTATGCCTGAATTTCAATTTTTTGCACCAAAATAAACTCATACTTTAATTCTATTTTTCTATGAACTTTTTGAAGTGCCCCCATACTGTAAAAAAGATACTGTGTTACCCACCCAATTTTTCCGGTCATCAATCTTTCCTTTCTATTTAAAAAAAATTTTTTTTTTTGGAGAGATTTTTGCTATAGGGCGCATGCGCTCGCCAGACAGACAGACAGAGACATAGAGACAGAAAGCGAGAAATCACCCCCCAGGGGCATGGTCACGCCGCAATCCCTTCTCCTCCATTCTCCTCTCGGGATCTTGGGCATGCACGCACACGCGCCCGGTGTGAGTTTTAAGCCACTGGGTCTGGGACGTGAACCGCGGTCGACTACGTGGGAGTCCAGCGACATAGCCATTACGCTAACTGCTGGTTCCCTCTATTTTTAAATTTGTAAATATTTCCTACTTGTATGCATTTTTTAATAGATATACTGAACTTCAATGTATTTTTGTATTTTTTAATTTGAAATCTCCCTAAGAACATACATTTTTTTTATTTATTTATTCATTCATTTATTTTAATTTGACCAGAGAAAGAAAGACACAAAGAGAGAGAGAGAGAGGAAAGCAAGAAAGCAAGCTGCCAGATCTGGGTCTCGAACTGTGGTCAGCCATGTGGGAGTATCCAGCACCTTAACCACCACCACGCCACCTGCTGGTGCCTTTGCATGCATTTTTAATGTGCATGTATGATTATCTGTATGTGTTTTTTTATTTAAGCATATATATTGATTTTTTCACTACTCCTCCAGAAACAGGTAAGAATGACCACTTTAACACATCGGGCCCGTCGCACTGAAGTAACCAAGAACTCTGAAAAGAAGGTAGAAAGTGAGGAAGACATTGCTCAAGAGAGGAGTCCACACAGTGAAGATTCTGGAGACTCTAAGGATATCCGCCTCACACTTATGGAAGAAGTCTTACTCCTGGGACTAAAAGATAAAGAGGTAATAAGTTGGGTTGGTTAGACTATCAAAGACTTAAATAGCTAAATTTTTTAAATAAGTAATCTGACAGACGTTTTTATTAGTGTTAAATTAACCATGTAATAGTACTCCAATCATCTGGGGAAGATGAAGGAGTTTGAGAGGGTACCTGATACTTGGAGGATAAAATCCAGAAGTGTTCGCCTGGCCCCACAGCCTTATAATTCAGGGAGCCAGATCCCACATGGCTGATCACAAATTGAATTCTGACTCTGGCTACTTGAAAAACATACTGGACACCTGTGTGTGTGTGTGCCCAAAATCTCATTAGAATGGAGAAATAAAGAAGGGATTGCATCCTCATTGGGAGAATGTTTTCTCTCTCTTTCCTCTGGAAAGTGCATGTACCCTATGGCAAGTTAAAAAAAAATTAAATATTTGGGGCTGGCAAGTGGCGTGGTGGTTAAGGGTGCTGTACTCCCACATGGTCAACTGCGGTTTGAGTCCCTGACCCAGCGGCTTTCTCTCTCTCTCTCTCTCTCACTCTATCCCTCTCTGGTCAAATGAAAATAAATAAGTGAATGAATAAATAAAATTAAATAAAATATTTGAAATGCAGTTTAATTGCAAAATTACTCCAAAATTTTATAGACTACATGAGAGGATAATACTGCATAACGTTTTGTGCTTGTAGCGCCCCAAGTTAGGTTGATGATGACATAATAACTTCATAAAGTAAGAGAGAGGGCCTGCACATTGAAGTCTTCTTGAGCTTAGGAAGAAAAATCTTTCTTTTTTTTTTTTTTGGAGAGGTTTTGGCTATAGGGCACGTGTGCTCACCAGACAGACAGAGAGAGACATAAAGACAGAAAGCGAGAAATCACCCCCCAGCGGGGATGGTCATGCCGCAGTCCCTTCTCCTCCATTCTCCTCTTGTGATCTTAGGCACGCATGCACACGTGCCCGGCGTGAGTTTTAAGCCACCGGGTCCGGGACGTGAACCGTGGTCAACTACGTGGGAGTCCGGCAACATAGCCATTACGCTAACTGCTGGTTCCCAAAAATCTTTCATATTTTTAGAGAGATTTTTGTTGTAGTGTGCATGCACTTGCCAGAGAGACAGAGTGAAAACTCACCCCTCAGGGGGAATGGACACGCCAGACTCCCTTCTCCTCTATCTCCTCTCAGGATTTTGGGCATGCACACCTATGCACCTGGCATGAGTTTAAGTTACTGGGTCTAGGACTCGAACTGCCGTTGACTATGTGTGAGTCCAGTGACATAACCCTTATGCCATCTGCTGGTCCAGGAAAGAAAAATCTTTTAAATAAAAAGAATTTATGTGTAATTAGCTGTCTTACAGAAATGAACAAAAAGTAGATTTCTTGTAATACAGCAGACATGATTTTTTTTAATTTTTTTCTGTGATCTTTAGAAGTTCAATACCAGGGCTTGCTGGTGGTATGGTGGTTAAGGCTCTAGATTCCCACATGGCTGACTGCAGTTCAAGTCCTAGAAGAGGCTTGCTTTCTCAGAAAGAAGTTAAATATCAGCAAGGGATGAGAATTATTTTAATTTTAGAAATTAAAAAAAGAACCAGCTATGGGACCTGCAGTTAGAGTAGTGGTTATGTCGCTGGACTCCCACGTAGTCAACCGTGGTTCACGTCCCGGATCCAGTGTCTTAAAACTCACGCTGGGCACGTGTGCGTGCATGCCCAAGATCCCAAGAGGAGAATGGAGAAGGGATTGTGGCATGGCCATCCCCCCTGGGGGGTGATTTCTCGCTTTCTGTCTCTATGTCTCTCTCTGTCTGGCGAGCGCACGCGCCCTATAGCAAAAAACTTCTCCAAAAAAAAAAAAAAAAAAAAGGACCAGCTAGTGGTGTAATGTTTAAGGTGCTAGCTCTCACATTGCCAACTGTACAGTTCCAGATCCAGCAGCTTGAGAAACATGCCAGGCTCATGTGCGTGCATGTCTAAAATCCCAAAGGGATGAAGAAATATAGGAAAAGGGATTGTAGCATGATCATTCCCCATGGGAAATGCTTTCTCTTTCTCTCTGGCAAGTGAATGTGCCCTCTGGCTAAATAAATAAATAAATAACATCATTTTGGCTATCTCTTTTTCTAAATTTCTCCTTAGTAAGAGGACACACATTAGAATCAGTCTGTAGAAGGAGCAGCAGCTGGTGTAATGGTTGTGTTGCCGGACTCCCACATAGTCGACTGCAGTTTAAATCCTGGACCCAGCAGATTAAACTCACGCCGGGTATGTGTGTGTGTGCAAGAGAAGAATGGAGGAAAAGGGATTGCAGTGTGGCCAACCCTCCTTGGAGGGGGATTTTTCACTTTCTGTCTCTCTGTCCTTCCTGTGAGCATACAAGCCCTATAGCAAAAACCTCTCTTAAAAACAAAAACAAAAAAAAAAAAAGAAAAACCTGTGGCTTTCTAAGGGTTTTTAGTTAATACAAAAAGGGGTGGCATTTATTGTTGACCTCTGTTCTGAAAACTTATAAAATTAAAATATTACTTTATATAAAAATACTAAACTTGGGGGCCAGCAAGTGGCATAGTGGTTAAGGGCACTGGACACCCACATGGCTGACCATGGTTCGAGTCCCGGACCTGGCAGCTTGCCTTCTTACTCTCTCTCTCTCACTCTCTCTCTCTCTCTCTCTCATTCGCTCACTCTATCCCTCTCTGGTCAAATTAAAATAAATAAATAAATAAAGTTAAAATAATTATTTAAAAAAATACTGAACTTGGCTCTGATAATTGTTCTAAGCTAGAAATGAATTGGCTATGTTCATCAAGTCATATTTCTTCTTTTCTACCTTAATTCCTCAGCTTGAAACTAAGCATTCCTTATCTCTTAGAGTTTTCATTTTGCTACCATTTTCTCTTCTGTATTTTTTGTCATGTTGAATTATCAACTTAGACAAACATACAAAAGCTGTTATACTCTCTGTGTTGTTAAAAGTAATATTAGAGACATGCATATGTGTCCTTGGCCAAGACACAAGTATATCAGAAAATCTTGCCTGGAAGTATACCGTCCTGCTTGCTGAGAAAATTGATGAGACTCCAGTTCTATAAAGAACAAATGAATGGAAAAACAAAATCATCTTTCTTCCTTCCTTCGTTCCTCCCTCCCTCCCTCCCTTCCTTCCTTTTCTTTCTTTCTTTTTTTTTAACCATAAATCAAATTTCCCCAAAAGGAGAATTTTATTGATTACTTTATTCCCTCACAAATAGACCAACTGTAATCAAATGAGGTGAACATTCACCTCAAGATTTTGTTGTCTCAGGAACCAGCAGTTAGCGTAACGGCTATGTTGCTGGACTCCCATGTAGTCAACCGCAGTTCACATCCCGGACCCGGTGGCTTAAAACTCACACCAGGCGTGTGTGTGTGCGTGCCCAAGATCCTGAGAGGAGAATGGAGGAGAAGGGATTACGGCGTGACCATCCCCTCTGGGGGGTGATTTCTTGCTTTCTGTCTCTCTGCTGGTCTGCCTGGCGGGCCCACGCCCCCTTTAGGAAAAACCTCCAAAAAAAAAAAAAGATTTTGTTGTCTTCATAATAGAAAAGATGCATAGAACTGGATCACTTGACCCTTTTTCTTCTTATCTCCTCCCAGTTAAAAATGCTTACATCTCTTAATAGCCAGCATTCTCTTAGATCTGCAGTTGGGCTCAACACATTCAAGCCTCAGCACAATCTTCTTTGTAGTTTTTGCCTTCTTCCAGAAAATAGGCTTAGTCTGTCCACCATAGCCGCTCTGCTTCCTGTCAGAATGCCGCTGTCCCTGAGCACACAGAGGATCCTTGCCCTTTTTGTACTGTGTCACTTTATGAGGTTGATGCTTGCCACACTTCTTACAGAAGGTCCGGTGGGTTTTAGGGACATTCACCATGCTTGCGGGCCTGCTAGCTGCACAGAAAGCAAAACCAACTTTCCAAGAGACTATCAGAATAGGTCTGAAGATTAGGTGGTATAAAGACTGTTTTGAGGGGCTCGCTGATGGTGTGGTGGTTAGGAGCACTGGATTCCCACATGGCCGACTGCAGTTCGAATCCCAGACCTGGTGGCCTGCTTTCTCACTTTCCCTTTCTCTCTCTTTCTCTGGTCAAATTAAAAAATAATAATAACAGGAGCCAGTAGATGGTGCAGTGGTTGAGGCATTTGGACTTCCACATAGCCAACCAGGGTTCGAGTCCTGTACCTGGAGGCTTGCTCTCTCATTTTCTCTTTCCATCTCTTTCTGGTCAAATTTTTTAAAAAAATTAAAAATAATAATAATAATAAGTGGAATTAAATAAATAAGTATTTAAAAATTTTTAAAAAGACTGTTTTGAGGGCCAGCCCCTACAGAGTGGTTAAGCATTGTGCATTGGGAGCCAGATCCCACATGCCAACTATGGTTCAAATCTGAGCCTTGATTTCTTGAAAAATACACTGGGTGCTGGGTATGTAGGTGCCCCAAATCCTGACAGGATGGAGAAATGGAGGAAGGGGATTGCGATGTAACCATATTCCACTGCGGGATGCTTTCACTCTAGCAAGTTATACATGTCCTCTGGCAATTAAAAAACACAGTTTACACAGTACCTGTGAGACATTCACTGTAGAAAAGAGTATATTAGGACTAAAACCTGTTTTAATTGTTGAAGTTTTAAATAGGAGTGATAATTTTCTGCTGACCCAGGACACTAGAATTTTTGCTTCTGTGCTGTAGAGAAACTGCCTTTGGACTTGTCTTTGAGTTTTTATAAATTTATAAAAGTAGTTATTATAAATTTTAGGAAATAGAATAAAAAATAAAGGAGCTCATTAAGAGCTGTGACCATAGTTAGTATTCAGAATGTTGGTGAAATTCTTTATAAAATGGACAAATAGGGTCCAGCAGTTAACATAATGGCTATGTCACTGAACTCCCACATAGTCAACCGTGGTTTGCGTCCTGGACCCAGTGGCTTAAAACTCACACCAGGCATGTGTGTGTGCATGCCCAAGATCCC